GAGCACGTGAACCATATATAACTACTTGATTCTTTTTTGGCATAGAGATATAACCTGACCTAATTCAGTTTCAAAATTAGCTAATATTCTCAGCAAAGGAGCATTCAGAATGAAAAAAATCACCTGCCTTAGAGCCTTTCAGCAGCCCAACCCTACCTGCCTCACCCCTATACCCCGATGTCTAATCTCTACCAGGTCTCATGCCCCCAACTGCTGGGTTATAGAGTGGCACGACCCACCCAAGAAACCCCCCAACTACTAGGCCACAAGCCAAAGCGACCCCCCGGCTCCGGCCAGCATCAACTAGGCACTAACTTACCAAAAGACACTAGAGTGCCTTCCACCGTCGAAAACTCCCCAGATCTCTCTACAAGGTCACATGCCCTCGTACAGCTTGAGTTACAGGGCAACGCAATCAAGCCCCAGCCCCGACCAACGTCTTTCTGGCCTTGTCTATTTGCAAACCACTGAGATTCAGGACTAAGGCAAATATCTGTCAAGCCACCATCTCCTTCTTTTCTTGAGAACTATGAAGGACTGGAAATTTTATACTTGATATGCTTTCAAGGTTCATCAATCTTGCTTGCATCTTCGACCATCATATCTCATTGTAGTAAGATTAGAATGGAGAGGCAACACCCCTACATGCTCTGAAATGCGGACAATTAATCCCCTGATTCCTTGCGGGGCAGTCAATGCTGCAGAGCCCAATATGGCCCAGGTTTTTCTGAATCGTATTCTCAACATGGGAGGCTGGACAAGGTTTCCAGTAGGTGAAGTTCCCCACCAAGAGATTGGAGGCACCACTGGTCACTAGCGTTAGGGAGTCCTCTTACCAACCCTAACAATAATCCTCGATGGATGTTAAAAAAAAAAAAAAAAACGAAAACCGGGCGCAATCAAGGTTCACAAATTTGGCTCCAAAGTGACAGAAATTGTGAATATATTCAACCTAGCTTTAGGGGTGGGTGGGGATGTGTTGTATTCGAGGGATGCTTGAACTACATTTAAAACTAAAAACGTGACTGTGTCGTAATTACACCCCTCCCCCCCCAAAAAAAGAAGGATTTTGGTGAGCAGTTGTGTGAGTGTAATTTGGTGCTGCCACCTCAAATGATAGATTCACGCGTGACAAGAGCTCCCGAAAAAGTTTCGTCCTCCGGAAGCCTATTCATCTCCATGTTTACGATAGAGGTGTGCCACCATGTGATTGGGTTAGCCTTACTGTTTTTTTTTTTTTTTTTTTTTTTTTTTTTTTTTTTTTTTTAAGTCCATGGTGTTGTAGAGGTCAGTCACTGAGTGCACAGTGATCACCTGGAGCAGTTGTGTGACGCAAATCACTTTGGTAACCGGTCCTGCCCCTGGTTCAGTCACTGACCCAGACCATTCTTATTGTTGCAAAGTAGCACCATTCTGGCTTGCTGCGTTGCTGGTCTTTATGTAATCTTCTCTCCTCTTCCCCAGACCCTCTTTTTTTTTCCGCTAAGAAACTGCAGGAGGGCCAGTACTATTTGGGGTGATAAAAGCATCCCCTTGTGGTAGGCTGCTCGTTAGTGCAGGCTTCGTTCTGTAGGTGGGCATCGTCACCTGCTGGGACTTGGGTCCAACATCCCTTTACTAAGACATATTTTACAGCATGTAGTTCTACTGTACACTCGGGGAGCAGCATTGATCACCTGTGTACACGGAGATGGACTTTTTTCCGAGGCCTATGAACAACCCCTGATGGTAGGCCTCTACGGATGGGTTCGATCCATCATTGATGAGGAGGCGGCACCTGCCGGAAACTGGGTCCAGCGTCCCATATACAGAGTTCCTGAAGTTACATCTTTGTGGTCCTTCCCCAGAGTCAGAGTCTGATACGAACATGTGTTAATCTGCGCCATAGACTGCCCTGCACTACCGTTTTCCCGCACCCTGAAAATAAACGTATACAAGCTATTTGCGGCCCGATATAGTCAAATTGAGGGTGCGTTGTGTTGGGGGGAAGAAGGTTGTCAAGGGATTAATTGCATATGCGGTTTTTTCTACGGTGGTACCTCCTCTTTAGCCTGTCAGCTTCAGTGACACTAGCCACCTGCTTGTTCCTCAGAGCCTTTGCATGTGTGTTATTTCAAATGTTTCTACAGGAAAACAGGATAGCTATGGTGGAGATTGGCTAGGATGGCATTATCTCTAAGATGTAATGTCCTAGTATAGGAAGGGCAACGAATTGTTCTAGGATTAGATGGTCATGATTGCTGATATAGCATAGTCCTCTAGAAATGTTTACATACTAATCACCGTCAACATTACCATCATCATTTTTAGTATCTTTATCTCACATTTTTCATAGAATCATTAGAGGTAAATTATCATTATCATCATCATAATCATCATCATATGAGGGGCGTTGAGCCCGGTTCTCAGCATGTTTCATTCGGTCACTCCGGGTAGACTGTGAAGACCCTGGCCTCAATCTTCTTATTGGTAATATCAGCCTTGGGCACTGGGCCCGATTAAAAAAAAAAAAAAAAAAAAGATTCCCCCTCCCTACATTCCATAGCCTTTATCAGGCTAGACCACTTGAATGGTCATCTGCTACAACCGAGTGGCCAATTGCTGTGGGTGACTGCCATATGTCTAGTATCCCACCTCTACAACAACCTTGACTTCAAAAAAAAAAAAAAAAAAGGGAAAAAAGGGGGGGTAACTTCAGTAGAGTCACAAAAAACGAGTTATAATTGCATTATGGGGCAAGATACAGTTTACAATTGCACTTTGGGCACCCTACTTGGCCAGAGGGCTGGGTTGTACTACACATTGCCCGAACTGCATTACGAAACTGTATCTTGGCCCATAGTGCAAGTATAACTCACTTTTGTGACTCCCGCGTAGTTTTCCCTTGTTCGTTTTTCAATGTCGTGAGCACCGGCACCGTTCCTCCCTTTCCCTTCGAGTGTGAGCGCAACTCTTGGTGTCTTCGCTCACAGCACCAAACCTCGGCCCTCTTTCATCGACGCTGCCTCCTCTTTCCATGCCTGCCGAGCTTGGCTCCCCAATGGGAACTAAACAACTTGTTGGCGGAACTACTTCCGCCGCGCGCTTTTCCAAACCTGGATTTCCACGGGCTGGTGGTCAGGTTTCAGTGTGTTCGAACATTCGAACATTGGTGAAGGGAAGTTCAACGGAAGGCCTCAGGGCGAACATTCCAGACCCCGACCAGCGAAATCGAGTTCACACCTGTCCTGGGGGGGGTGGACGGGGGGGGGAGACGAAAAAAAGCGCACCCAGAACCAAAAAGCTCCTGGCCCAGCCGGGAAGCAAGTCTGGCGCTCAGAAAAGTTGATTAGTGGGTCCCCCTCCCGGAGGATTCTCCATCCTCTTCCAGGGTGCACTCACACAGGTACTATATTACTCATTGATGGACATAATTGTGGTCATCTTCATCCAGGTCTTGCAGTGGATATGATTCGATACATATGAGATAGAACTAGTGTGAACATGCCCACAGAGAAGTTGGGTCTTACCCCTCACGAGGCCCCACCTACAATCATTCTCCCTCAGCCGTTCGACTCAGCGGAATGACCCCTCTTTATCAAAACACTCGCATGTCTGCACCACCAGTTGTATGTCTGCACCCCTCTTTATCAGCAGTGACATGCCTGCACGGCTCACCCCCAAGGCATTTGATGGGATTTTTTTTTTTTTTTTGAGGTCTACCTTTCTTTTCTTCTTTCTTTTGCCCCGGAAAGACGACGACGGAGAAAGCTTCAGGGCACAAAACAAAACAATAAAGCAGCTTCCCTACCGAACCTGGCCTCCTCGACGGTCAGATACACGCCACCGAGAACTGCATACCTCCGTGAGCTGTCTGTCTCAGGACGATCCAAAACATGAAGATGAAAAGGACGAATGTCAATGTCATTTTGGCACGGATTTCTCCGCGGACCCATAATTTGAAACCCGGTTTACTCAACCCAAATGTGAGGACCCTTTCCCGTATATAAACCGGTCCATGCAAAGTTTGAAGCATACCTTTCTCGGCCTTTTGGCTAAGATCAAGTGTAGTATCTGTTCTGATCAGTTTAATATCTGATCTGTGATCCATCGGGCCACTACGATATTAAATCAATTTTTTCGGGCCACGGAGGGGTCAAAAGAGTAAGCTTGCTTGCTCGACCTTTCCAGCGTTGCCTCTGTGTTGCACTGCGGCAGAGTGCGGCGCAGCCCTCCCCAATAGGGGAAGAAAAGCCAAACTGAGAAGGACAAAATGCCGAAGGCAGGACAACAGTCCAAAGGCAGGGCAATGTTCTAAAGGCAAAGGCAGCAGAATAGTCGGGCGGTCCTTTTCTACTGTAGGTTACTGAAGCTTGAGCAATTATGTCAGCTGAGAAAGTAATTGTTGGATCTCGGCTACGGGTAGCCATTTGCCAATTGGGCAGAGAATGAATGTTGCGCTGCAACCTGGCCAGATGCACCCTCCACATTTTAGTCTGTTTCACAGTTCGAGAGCGGTGTGGCGAGGCCCAATGTTTAACGCACCGCGAAATTACGATTTGCCGTCGATTGCACCTCTCTCTCGTGGCCGTGGATTGTCAGCGAAGTTTTTTTTTTTTTTTTTTCCCGGGAATATCAGCTATAAGTTTGTCCCACGCTCCTACCAGCCCATATTGCTGGGCGACAGTGCTGTGCTCGACGGTCCCACGGTGATGCGGCGGCGCTATACCGGTAGTTGGTCCCGCCGATGGTCCTCTACAGTGTTGCCGTCCTCTGCCTGTCCCATAGTTGTTGCCTTTCCCACAGTGGTGCCTGTTCGACAGTGCTGCCTGTCCCACGGTCCCGCCTGCCCCACAATACTGCTGGTGCACACACTGGTGTGCCATTGTCCCGCAGTGCCGCCCGGCCCACAATGCTCTCAGCCCGCGGTGCGACGCGCATCCGTTCGGCGCGTGGCGATGTCCGCGCTGTTGTCCGACAGCGTTGCGACGCAACAGCGCGGACATTCCGCAGCGGCGCGGAATACACCACCTGTTAGGAGGAAGACAGGTCGGGATCCTGGGCGAGAAGTGAGTCGCTCGTTGCACGTTAAGTAAGGTTCCTTCATCCTAGCTTTCCTCTCAATGAAATCCTCCCCCCCCCCTTCCCCCACTCTTCTTCGCCTCTTCATTCTCTCTCTCTCTCTCTCTCTCTCTCTCTCTCTCTCTCTCTCTCTCTCTCTCTCTCTCCTCCCCCCCCGATGTTGCCCCGCAGCCTCGATATGTGTGTATGTCTATGCTCTGTGCGTATGCGGTTGAGGCTGGAAACGACAGGCACAGCGTCACTGTTAAGCTTTATGTCAGTCTCTTAGGGAGTGCTTCATCAATTAAGACGATTATTGGATTATGCATTTCTGATTGGGACGGTATCGTTTAAGGCCGAGAAGGACGGAACGGGTGCAATCCCAAAATGGCAGCAATTCAGTACCCCTCCTTACCCCCCCCTCCTCCTCCCCCACCCTCACGAAACATCATCGCCTCTGAGCGATTTGCCCTCCGAGTTAAGGTCCGATCCTTCTCCTCCGACGAAAATGGCGCCAATTCATTACCCCTCCTTCCCCACCCTATCCCACCCCCACGAAACATCACAGCCTGTGAATTATTCGCCCTCCGAGTGAAGGTCCGCTCTTCCTCCTCCTCTTTCTCCTCCTCCACCTGCTGCTCATTTTCCATGCTTTCCCTACCTTTCGTCCTTATAGCGCTTTTTCTATATTTCTCCCTCTTTTTTTCTTTTCGGGATTTTCAGGAATTGCAATCTTTTCTTTTTTTTCCTTTTCACTTATTATACATTTCATGCCACTTCAAAGCTATTCGAAAAAAAAAAAAAAAAAAAAAGAAGAAAGAAAAAAAGGGGAAAAAAGAGAAAAAAAGAGAAAAAAAGAGGAAAAAAAGAGGGGAAAAAGAGGAAAAAAGGAAGAAAAAAAAAAATGCTATTCGAAAGAAATATTTTGTGAGGAGCGGAGCATGAGCATAAGGAAGACGAGGAGGACGAGGACGACGAGGAGGAGGCGGCGGCGGCGGAGGAGGAGGAGAAGGTAGACCAGGAGGAGGAGGAGGAGGAGAAGGTAGACCAGGAGGAGGAGGAGGAGGAGGAGGAGGAGGAGGAGGAAGGCGAGGACTAAGAAAAAAGGAATGAGAAGGGTGATGAAATTGCAAAATAAAAAGAGACCCCTCGAGGAGGACTAAGAAAAAAGGAATGAGAAGGGTGATGAAATTGCAAAATAAAAAGAGACTCCTTGTGTGGCTGGATTGTACACCCATGTAAGTAAAAGGATGTAACTATTGGCGAACAGCTCGTGAGTTCAAATCATGCTAAGTTGCTAACTATAGTAATGTTAGGGGCTACGGTCGAGTACCTCTGTTTAACAGCATTTAAAATAAAACGCAACATATCGTCGTCCTCCTCGTCCTTGTCCCACTTTTCCACGTCAGCATCATTATCCAACCCATCTCCACTCCTCCCTCTTCCCCTCGTCCTTGTCCCACTCTTCCACGTCAGCATCATTATCCAACCCATCTCCACTCCTCCCTTTTCCCCTTGTCCTTCACCCCCTACCGATCATCATCATCATCATCATCATCATCATCATCATCATCATTTTAATCATGACCATCATCGTCATCATCATCATCATCATCATCATCATCATCATCATCATCATGACCATCATCATGACCATGTTCATCATCATCATCATCGTCATCATCATCAGCATCATCAGCATCATCAGCATCATCAGCATCATCAGCATCATCAGCATCCATCATCATCCTCAGAAGCAGCAGTATAATCAATCATCGTCATCGTCATCATCTCCATCACCATCACCATCATCACCATCACCATCACCATCATCCCCATCCTCATTCCCATTCCCATCCCCATCCCCATCACCATCACCATCACCCCTACTGTCATCATCATTATCATCAGCAGCAGCAGCGTAATCAACGATCCTAGTCATAGCCGCACCATTGTCCTTCCTCTCTGACGTCTTCTTCTCCCTTCTCCTTGTGAGCCTCCTCTCCCTCCTTCCTCCATACCATAACCATTTCTAATCCCTTGACGCCTAGGAATTCTCGTACAGAAACCCCAAAATAAAGTCGAAAAATAATAAATGGTATGAGAACGAGTTTGGTCGAGCTTACCGGCACCTCTAATCAATCACATTGTGATGATTGTTTAATCCTTCTGCACCAGTTAATTAGACATGAAAGGTGTCAGTGTTCGTTAATTAGTATCAAATTAGTGGAGATTAATCAATCCAGAAGGGTGGTCCTTCCTTTTTGCGAGTGGGAAAGGAATTAGCACCCTTATCATGACTGTACCGGGCCGGAAAAATCGCATGGATACGTTTTTGCGAGAGAAAACTGAACCCATAGTTACAACAATTATCTCCATCCGTCCTTCGCCCTGCCAGAAATTCGAATTTCAGACAGGGTTCCAGCGTCTTGAACTTCACACAACGCACCCTCATCACAAGTGGTTATAGGGGACGCCCACCCACTTTCAGCTCCTGACTAAGGGGTCCTAAACTGAAATTAGGGTGCGGGGGTCACATTTTATGTTAATTAGGGTGTGGGGGTCAAATTTTATGGTAATTAGGGTGTGGGGGTCACATTTTATGTTTTTCCCTCATCATGGATGTATCTGGCCGGAAACGGAGCTTGTATACAGCCACAAAGATAGTACGTTGTGTTCGGGGGGTAAAGACAGTGGCAAGTTACTAGAAACAGTAAATCAATCAACCGCCACCGCACGCGAGGAAATGAATTTGGCGCCAAAGTTGGAAGAAGTTCAGAAAAGATGAAAAAAAGACATTTTCGTGGACGTAGAGAGATTGAGCGGAAAATTTGCGATAAGTTGAAAAAAAAGAAAAAAGAAAAAAAATCGATAACCAGCCGGGCTGCCCGGGTCACCCCATTTTCCCAGGCGGCCCGGCCGTGCAAGGACAAGGGAAGGTCCTAGAGGGAGGGGGGGGAGGAACCGAAAAAGAAAAAATGTTATGAAGAAAAATAAACTGAACTGAACAACATTTGCCTCAGGGTGACATCGAAAATCTTTACCAAATTTAAAATAAAAAGTAAAATTAAAAAATAACTTTTATTTTATTTAATTTTCGCCCGGCCGGGCAAGTGGTCCCGGGCCACTCTGGTAGCCTTAAGCTAAACTTAATAGTTAAATGTAGCAGTAAAATCCAACGGTCAAAATGAGTGAGAGATCAGTAATAAAACATTCTATAAAACTATAATGATACTAATTAACTAATTAATTAATTCATTAATTCATAAATTCATTCATTCATTAATGAAGTAATGTCTTTGTTAAACCACCAGTACTTGGCCCAGCGATTGATGCCGAGCCAAAATATGCCCTGCGCGCCAAGCTTTGCCAAGCCTGGAAGGGGCGGGAACCGGTAGGGGGCATTTTGTGGTTGGCACAGGTACCGCCCCTTGTGCTGGACCTGCAACCAGCAGCTGGTACGAAACGGGGTAGCTGTTTTCACTCGTACATTAGCCCACGCCGGCCAGAAGTGAGAAACGGCCAACTAACTTCTGCCAAAAAGAAAAAAAAACAACTTATAAAAGGCAAGAAGGGGGCTCTCAGCTCTGTCAGAGGCCCGCCTCTCACGGCGGGCAGAAGGAAGAGCTTTTCTGATGTGCTCCCCGTGAAGACAAAAAAGATGGCGGAAAAGAAAAAAATAAATAAATGGCGGTGTACCTCTTTCCACGTTCCAGCAGATGATTCAGTCTCCCCACATGTATCTTTCCATGTTGTAGGGGAGGATTCAGTCTAAAAAGTAGACCAAAAGACAAAAAAGATGGAAATGTATCTTTCCATGTTCTAGGGGTCGATTCAGTATCATTTTGCACAAGTCGGACCAAATCTTCTTCCAGAGACAAAGGGAAAAAAAGAGGTGGACCCCACTGATTTGCAGCAAATTTCAGCCTGGAAAGCTTCCGGAAAACCCAAATCGTAGGCCCCGGAGGTGGGAAACAGAAAAGCAGACCCGACTGCAGCACAAATTTTCCGCAGTTCCGTTGGTGCCGGTTACCGGATAGGGAAAACTTTCCCTATATGGAAACTTCACGTCCTCTCTCCTTTCCACATGGGATGGCCAAACCGAGGGGGGTGCCCCCCCCCTACCCCCTCAGAATGGCCGAACCGCACGGAACGGGCAAAACAAAACTGAGTGAAAACGTCTGCCACGTCATATCTGAGCGTTTTCCAAACCTTTGCCGGAAAGCAGTGGGGTTTCGCAAATCGTCTTCCAAAGCTTTGCCGCAAAGCAGTGGGGTCCACCTCAAAGACTGAAAAGGGCAAAAAGGATTCAAAGCGCCCTCAGCGCTGTCAGAGCCCCGCCTCCCACGGCGGGCAGAAAGAAGAGCTCTGTGGCAACTCTCGAAACGTGAAGGCATGAGACCGAATCCTCCTATGGAACATGGAAAGATACATTTTCGGTTTTTTAGCACTCCTGTAGTAGTGTAGAGAGACCCAACCGAGCTGGCCCTTCGCCTTCCCGCCTGCCCGCCGTGAGAGGCGGCGCTCTGGCAACACTCAAGGGCGTTATCTCACTCCTTTTGGCCGCCAAGTGGCGGGCACGACTTTGTTTTTTTTTTTTTTTTTTTTTTYYTSCMYTTKTYYYKTTTYMWTTKKTTTTTTTTTTTTTTTTATGGCCTATACTGCGTCTGTGCATTGTTTCCACACGCACGGTATAAACCAAGGGGACAGACTACATTCCATTTGTGATTTTCCTTGGGCCCAATGACTTCTTCCTCCATAGCACTACCGGGCCTTCTCCGAAGCCCGAAAAACCCATAGCGTTAACGCTAAGGGGCCGCGGCCGATGTATGGGCCAAGTACTGGTGGTTTAAACCCAAAGACTGAAAAAACAGAGATATTTACGGATTAATAGCTAACGTTAAACCCACAGCAAACTCAAGAATATATTGCAAGAGTGGAAATTGAAGCGAGATCCCAGAAAGGATAAGAGCACGCTTTAAAATTACTATAAAATTACTACAAATTTTATTAAATTATATATTGAATTTATTAAGTTATAAACGATTATTTGAGAACATCAGTATAAATTGTATGTTAAGCAATGTTAAATTCTACTACCAGAATTACTAGGTAGTAAAAAGTAATATACTAATAAATAGTAATAAATTAATAATTATTCGTAAATCACCAACCTGGACTGAAATACCCATCTTGACACACATACCAGGATAGGGATCAACCAATCACTTACGCAAAAGCTATAATTAATTAATACAATATACACCCTCCTCCTCTCATTCCTCCGCCAGATTTTTTCTGCAACCATTTCTTAGAATTGTCTTTGCCGGACAAGGACATGCTCTCCTCCCGGTATGGCAAGATGCCCGTTTCTCTCTCTCTCTCTCTCTCTCTCTCTCTCTCTCTCTCTCTCTCTCTCTCTCTCTCTCTCTCTCTCTCTCTCTCTTTTTGCTGTTTTTTTAAATCATCTGTTTGTAGCTTCTGTTTAATGACTTGAAGGTAGTAATAATGTCACTAAATGTGATCATTGTTGATTGGCCGAATGTTTTTTTTCTTCTTCTTCTTTTTTTGTTTTGCCGGGTCGTTTTCGTGCAGCGAGAGAGGGCAGAGTTAACAGAGAAATTTTGTCCTGTAACATTGACCAGGGGAAGCGCTGGAAGAACTCTGCTCTGGCGATATCCTCCGCAGCAGCAGCTGCACCTCTTCGGCCATCAGATTATTTTTGTCCTGATTCCTGTAATCATTAGTCATCTATTGCCGTGGCAGATCTCCCCAACGAGGCTGTTCGGTTCGGTTCGGTTGTAGAATCAGATAAGCTAGAAACGACCTTCTTCTTAAATCCCCATTTTTGACATTATGGCATGGTTTTGCCCATTTAGTTGTCATTCGGAATTTTAGTGGATTCGGAAAAAAAAAAAAAAAAAAACTTGATAATTGGAGAGGCTGGGCTTGTGTTCACCGTCGATAGAAGGTTGAAGGAACTTCTTCTGAAATCCCCATTTTTGAAGCGCTTGCCAAATTTTGTCGTTCTTGTCATTTTCGGCCATTTTTGGCCCATTTTTCGGCCATTTTTGGTTGACCCATTTTTGGCCCCTTTTTGGCCCATATTTTTAGCCCATATTTGGCCCCATATTTGGCCCCATTTTTGGGCCATTTTTAGCCCATTTTCGGCTCATTTTGGCCCACCGTTTTTGGCCCATTTGTGGCAGTTTAGTTGTGATATTCACCATGAGAGCTGTTGTGCAGCGTGTCCTGTCGGCGAAGGTGGAGGTGGAAGGTCGGATTGTCTCGGAAATTGGGCCAGGCTTATGTGTTCTTGTCGGCATTTTCGAGGGCGATAGCGATGTGGACTCGGACTACATGTGTCGTAAAATTCTGAACATGCGTCTGTTCATGGATGATAATAAAGGGCGGGCCTGGGATCAAAGTGTCATGCAGAAGAAGCACGAGGTCCTGCTAGTCAGTCAGTTCACACTCTATGGCTTTCTACAGGGCAACAAACCCGATTTTCACCTCGCAATGCCTCCGCAGAAAGCGAGGACATTTTACCAGACGTTCGTGGAGAAGGTTGGCAAGGCCTTCGACCCATCGAAGGTGAAAGACGGCATTTTCGGGGCCATGATGAAGGTGCAACTAGTGAACGACGGACCGGTCACAATGCTGCTCGATTCGCGAAAGAAGGCCTCGGATATGGCCACAGAACCGATCGGAGAAGAGCGAAGTGGGGTGGCAAATGATGTTGTAGGGGTCGCAAAAAAACTAGGGCCCCAATGATGACTCAAGTGGGGGGCATAAGTGGCCAAAAGAATTGCGATACCGATGGATGCTGATCGCAATGATGATGATGATGATGATGATGATGATGATGATTTGGGGGGGGGGGGGGGGGGGGGGGGGGGGGGGGGGGGGGGGGGGGAGGGGGGGGGGAGGGAGAGAAGCGGGGGAGGAAAGAAAAAAAAAAAAAAGAAAGGGGGGAGGGGGGGGGGGGGGGGGGGGGGGGGGGGGGGGGGGGGGGGGGGGGGGGGGGGGAGATGGAGGTGGTGATAATGATGTGATGATCGTGATTAACGATGATGTTCGTTCGATGACGTGGGTGCGGACAAAATCCGATAATTTTGTTCAGATATATTTATATTTCTCATCAAGTTGCATTTGTACGGTGAGTGTCGTCTTTATAGTCGGTGTTACGGTCTAGCCCGGTTTGAGTGTTTGGGGCCTTGGGCCAACAATTGACAACCAGATAATAGAATTATTGTTTCCTAGAGGTAGCGGCAGCAGTTCATTAATTGAGCATTTTTTTGTGATGTTAAAAAAAAAGAGCATATGTTGAGAATTCACTCTTAGTCTCTTGCCTATCGTTCCATTAATTTTTCAAATTGCCGCAAGTGGTCAGCGTTTCAGGTTTCTGCCTGCCAGTGACAGAGAGCATGTAATGTTGATGCCACCAGCCAGGGCCACCGTTACCGATTCATGAAGTCCTCGCGATCTAATTTGACATGTCCACTTGTGGAAGTACTTGTCTTCAACTACACAGGCTTCTGTGGAGGGAGGTTGCAAATTTCGTTAAACTTTTCTTGATGTTTTGCATGCTCCAGTAGTCTTGGGCAAAAGGCTTTGGATTGGGCCTGCCAGTGAAACCCTCGCCTTCCTCCAACCATGTTGTCTTATTTACTTTTTGTCCGTGAGCAACGTGTCCCTTGTGAATGTGATTCGCCACGTATACCAAGGCCTGTGTGTTGCCATGTTCACGAAACCCTAAACTTCTCAAAACAGAAGCACTGTGTGTTGCCATGTTCACTAAACCCTAAAGTCCACAAAAAAGAAGCACTGTGTGTTGTCATGTTCACTAAACCCTAAAGTCCACAAAAAAGAAGCATGACTGTGTTGAACAGACTGTTTCGTCGGGGGACTTTCACTGACTGCCCAGGATGCATTTGACTGATGGATATTATGGACTCACCACGTCTCCCACTGGCAAAGTTGCCAATACCCCTGAGAGAACTGGCTGTGTGTGTGTGTGTGTGTGTGTGTGTGTGTGTGTGTGTGTGTGTGTGTGTGTGTGTGTGTGTCAGATTTGATACGAAACCCCCACGTGAACAGACGTGGCGAGCTGCGCAGACAATTTGAAAGCACATCAAGCAACAGACAAGGAAATAAATCGTTCACTTCATGTGGCATGACCAAAACAAGCAAACAAAGAGAAGCTAAATGCCCTACTGTTGAAGCCAAATAGACTAGAACATGGGGAGGGGGCAGAGAACAGCAAACAGGAGGTAATGCACACTGAGGAGACGTACAAGACGCATAAATGACAAGCAACAACAAAACACATAGGCTGGCGGGCACGTGGGAGGCGGGCGGGCACAGAAGCAAGATAGGAAAAGGCAAAGACAGTGAGCCGAGAAACAAGTAGTACCCAAGAAAGACATAGACAAAGGCTATAGGGCAAGGGCGAGGCGAGCAGGAAGATAGACAACACAAGTCAGCAAAAGCAACAAGAGCAGATCAAAAGACAAAAACTGAAAGAAAAAAAAACTGATGATCACAAGATTGTTTCGTAGACTCATCAGGAGGCTGAACCCTTGACAATCTGCGGAATCTCCGTATTTGATGGTTTGGGTCATGAACCCTTTGACCCATGTTGAGGGCAGACTGTCCCTCAGCGGAACATAGCAGCGGGCAGCAACCCTGTGGAGCACCAGGCAACGCAGTAGAGGCAACACGGCTGCACAACGCCAAAAACGACTGCAAGGAACAACTCGGCATGCAGGACACACAACGCGGCATCTACGTAGTGAAGCACAGGGCAACACCACCAAGACAGCCACACTGCAAGGGATGACAGGGCAAGCGGACGAGCAGCAGAGCAACCATGCGGTGAAGCACAAGGCAACACTGACAAGGCAACCGAACTACAAGGCGTGCAAGCAAAGCACACAGAAGGCACAGCCAGCGGATGAGCGGCAAGGCAGTGGAGCAGCGAAGCGCAAGGCAACACCAGCAACACGGCCACACCACACAGTGGACACAGCAATTTGCAGAGAACCACATGCGAAGCAAGCGGGTACAGCCAGCAAGGCAGCGGCGGAGCTCAGATGAGACATTCCACTCATCCAGCACGGAGCAAAGCGGCACACGACCTACTCATCTCACGATTGAACCCTGCAGACTGTTGGTTCCCACCACCCACTGAGCCAGGGAGTCACTCCGACGAGCATCCGTCATCACCCACAGGCAACACAGACATCCCGAACCGAGTGGCCCCCCTAAGAGTGCTGTAGGCCACTATAGACGACGAATGACCGACCGTTTCGGCACTACTTCAAGGTGCTCAGTTGGGCACATAAAAAGTACTTAAAAAAAATCTGAGGAAAGACAAACAACAAAAGAACAAAAGGAAGACAGACATACAAAAGTAAACTGTTTATTTATGTGTGTGTTTGTGTGTGTGTGTGTGTGTGTGTGTGTGTGTGTGTGTGTGTGAGAGAGAGAGAGAGAGCAACCCAGCTGCAAAGGTAATGAACTTGTCACATCTGAGGATATGGGGCCAAAAAGATGGGTTGCATGCTGCGAAGACATACTTAGCAGTGTTGAGATTTCAAACACAAAGCAGCCTCACCCACATTACCTGCAGTGGTATGTTGAACTGCGGTTATCAGGGAAAGCCTCAAATAACCGCACACAGAGATGATGACAGGGAGCAAGTATCCAATTGAAGCTTCAGCCTTCAGCAATATCTTGATGATTGACACAACTGTACAGCATGACATTACCACCAAAAGTCCGCGTACGCGTTCTGTGATAGCTATTAAATAATCGAACAGAGGTTAAGCAATGGATCAATCGTTGGTAATTGGTTGTGTGGCAAAGGTTTGTTTCGATCTTGGGTGTGAAGCGATCGTGATAGTAACTCGTATCATCTTTTATTCAGGACAGGCATGTTTTTGACAAAATCAATTGATCGTAATATGTACAAAAAAGGGGAGCATTCATTCAATCATAGGTATGATCGATGGTTTATCGTCTGCGTGCAATGTGACACCCACAAATCACTCTCTGAAATTCCTACAGTTTCTGAGAAAATGTTGTTCTTTGGGTCTGTTGTCAGAGAATTCCACGTCTGAGTCGGTTCTGCTGTGCTTTTCTAAAGTGTGTGTGTGTGTGTGACCTGCCACTAACGTGCAGGTGCTGAGTGTATGCTGAGGCCAAGTCCGGGAGCGGGTGCGAACTCTGTTGGCCGTGTACGTGTGGCCGTGTACGTGTGGCCGTGTACGTGTGGCCGTGCCTCAGACAGGGAAGGGGGGTAGGAAAAGAGTGGTGGCCAGGGGCAGGACTGCAAGTTAGTGGGAGGATATGCTCAGGGGTTGTTTTGCGCCCAGGGACAAGTGTAGAATTGGCCAGGGGACGGGTAGGATTTTCCAGCAACTCAGGTACGCCCTGGAGTTGAGTAGGCTTAGCTGAGGTCCAGTAGCAGGCAGAAAAGAAGTCATAAGTATTCAGCCCCGTACCTAGCTAAAGTTTATAGACTAGATACAGGCCCTGAGGCCCAGTTGCAGACGGAAACGAAGTTACTGACCCCCAATCTGACAAGTGCACACACGAGAGGTTGGGTAGTGCTGGGAATTGCGAGGCCAGTAGGAACCTGGCGCCGGCCATGGGTGCAATCCCCTCATTGGCCCAACTTGACTGTACCTTCCTGGGCATGCTTGGCACCCATCACCGGGACAGCCCGTTGGTCCCTCCAACTGTCATTAAAAAGCAGTTTCTGATGATGTTCATACGGAGAGGGGTAATCAGGGAGGCACAGCGACTGGGCACTCAGACGATGCTCGGTCCCTCTGCTACCAGCTGTCCCCTGGCTGGACTTGCCCACTGGCGGTCCCGTGGTGGCAATAAGGCCACCCTGGGCTGAAAAGGCCACGGTTGAAAGGGCCACCCGGCGTCAGATTAGACACATGATTGAATTTACCTGGGCTGGTTAGTCTGTTGATAATACCCCAAGGCCATTGCCCTCTGGAAAAAAAAGAGGAAAAGAAAGTAATAAACCTCTTCTTGGTGATCTAAGGTCACGAAAAAGAGGTTTATTAATCTTCACTCTTTAAAATGGTCATTATACTGCCTCAGGCTGTCTAGAGGGGGAAGTTGGCCGAGCACTTGGAGGAAAAGGAAAGGCGTAGATCACGATCGTTCTATGGCGTGCACGGAGCTACACAAAGTACGTACTATTCGTACAGAACTCGACTAGTTTATCTCACTCTAGCTGTTTAATCACTCTAAAGGATGCATTTGTGTCCACGCCGACTTAGCCCACTAGTCAGTATGCATTGATTAATGCCTTAGTGGATGCAAGAAACACGACAAAGCAGAAAGCTGCAGTTTCGAAGAACCCAATCCTCTCCACCACCTCAAAGTTGCTTGAACGAAGTACGATACAAAAAAATGAAGATTATTTCGATATCATAGGTGGAGGAGAAGAAAGCAAAGGGGAGCGTCCTTCAGGACATCCATTAAAATTGGAACGAAATAGAGAAGATTGGCAAGGCCCCTGTGCAAGGATGACACACATATATCGAGAAATGATCCAATGGATCGTTGCCTTAGTGTATGCAAGAAACGCCACAAAGCAGAAAGCTACGATTTTGAAGACCTTAAGCCACCACCTTGATCGAACAAAGTAGGATATGAAAATGAAGATTATTTTGATATCCTCGATGAAGGAGATGAAAGCAAAGGGGAACGTCCTTCGGGACACCCCTTAAAATTTGAACGAAATAGAGAAGATTAGCATGGCCCCTGCACAAGGATGGCACACATAAATCGAGAAATGAAATTTAATAAAAAGGGA